ACTAGAAGAAGAAGAAGAAGAAGAAGAAGAAGAAGAAGAAGAAGAAGAAGAAGAAGAAGAAGAAGAAGAAGAAGAAGAAGAAGAAGAAGAAACACTCCAGCATTATCACAACTACCGCAGCCGCCTTTACCAACTCATCACTATCACAACAGCCACAATCACCATGACAACAACGCCAACCGAGAACCTTCAGCAACTCGTCCCAAACAGACAAAAGAAAAAAACCCAACCAACTCGAACATACGAACACCGCCCTCCACCACAACCCTTCCAATCCCACCCCATCCCACCTCAACCCCAAAACAGAGAAAAAACAATTAAATAAAATAAATAACATAATAACACAAATAAACAGCAAGCCCCTGCCTTACGATTTCGCTTTGTCCAACCACGATTTCTCTGCAGACGTTAAAGGCAGAGGTTGGGGAAACTCCAGGTCCCGTATCTCTGCCCAGTGATGACACTTGAGCACAGGATTCTGAGGGCGTCCACAGTACCAGGACTGGCCAAAGTTCAAGGACGTCAGGTTACACAACTCTTTGTAGCCCGAGGAGAAGGGGAAGGGGGAGCAGAGTGTTGTTTCGCTGAAAGGATACCAAGTGGAAGTGGAATAGATGGTTTAGGATAATTTTTTAATCTTGAGGTCTTCAAGTCTTTTTCAAAATTAGAGACAGGAGAACTGGCTGGGAGATCGCTGAAAAGGTGTGGGTGGTTGACGGGTGCTCTGGTGTTCATTGCTCCTTATTTCCCATTAAACATCAGAACCTATCGCCCTCATCTCTCATTCTTCTTGTGTGCTTTTGTTACTCTTTTTTAACACCTTTAAGCTTAGGCACTTTTATGGCCTACCTGTGTTGCAAATGCCGTATAACTCTGACTAAAACGTTAAACAGGGATACGGAAGAGAAGTTGAAAAGAAAGTTATTAAATACATTTGCAGTCGAGATATCATCATCTTCATCATCATCATCATCATCATCATCATCATCATCATCATCATCATCATCATCCAGTGCCAGATCTGCGACAGACATCGGCGATCATGGTTCTCCATTCATTCCTTTGCTCGCTCTTTAAAAAAAGCTACGTTTCCCTGATCTTTCCCCGTTACCCATTTGTTTAGGTTCCCCAAGTAGGTTTCTATGGCCTACTCCTGCCGTGTTTGCCTTTACTTTTGCCAGTGAGAGCCAGATGTTGAAGGCGTTTATGTCTATAGGTGTCCCAATAACTGCATTTGTCGTTCCCTGAGAGTCCAACGTGGACTTCATCGAGCTCTACCTCATTGGATTTCTTTTCCTTCCTTGATATTCTCAGCAGTCTCCTAAGAAACCACATTTCTGTTGCTTCTATCATATTTTCACTGTTTTTAGTGACTGTCCAGCATTCACAGCCATAGAAGTGTTAACCATACATAGCATTTCAGAACTTTCGTTTTGGTAGTCGTTGAGGTGTTTCTATATTTCAGGATGGGGCTCATTTCTATTGAAACTAGTCTTATAATAGCCTTTGCAATTCTCCGTTTTATTTCGGTGGAACATTTGACATCGGATGTTATTATATATTATGCATACATGCGTATAAAACACGAAAAAGACATTTAAAAATCAACAACAACAAACAAACAAAAAAACCTGAACTCAAGCGTGAATATCTCCACCCCAATATTTATACCATTGATGGTGTTGTGTACTACTCACAGTTACTGTATAAATAAAAAGTATCTAAACAATCCACAGCAACCCCGCGTCTGTGGTGCAGAGCTAAGGCTAAGTGGGGAAGACTTTTATAGTATTAGTAT